AGGACTGACTGTGGGTCCTTGAGGACCGGATTGGAAACACTGATATAAAGGGTTAAATTTGTCACCTGACCGCAAGTATGAGACCCAGGAATGATATTCGGGATCACTGGCTGTCATTCAAGCCCAACTTCTCAATAACCTCCTTTTTCCCACCATCCAGTCACCAACCAAGTTCTAGTGAGGGATGTGAATCATTAATTGGCTTATCTCTACTCTTGCGTAGGTTAACTGACTAATATAACATTTCAAAAATGTATACTGAGTTACCTACGTCAAACATTTCATTAAATAAACATTTGATGGGACATGAGGGAAAATTGATAACAAGCCCCCAAGCTAACATGATGGATACAACGTGATTTTATGTGACTCATTTAAATATGAGTTCAATTAAAAAAGCTAATTAATTATAAGAGCCCAGCTGAGACACAAAGCACCCCCGACCTGCGGACACTTATTAAAAGACATTTGCAAACGTAGCTTATTGATGTGAACTCGTACATGTATTTTACTGACGTAAACTCTTGCTGCAGTGGTAAGGGTGAACGTACGGGGTACCTTGAAACTGCATCATCACGATTGCATCACCAGCCTAACAACTGAGCGATACGTCACCGGGGGAAGGATTTCGGATGAAATTTGGCATGCCGGCATCTCTATGATCATAGCTCAGGCAAGGTGATGGGTCCTGAATATGGAGCCATCTGTCAGTCAAGGGTTCCCCTTTGTGCAAACTCCGAAACTAAACATGCTGTCGAGTAATGGCGGCAGTGTCAGTACCTTCACCGAACCCCAAACATGCATTTTCTCTTTCACTTACATAAGCAGGTGGTGTTAACACACCAAATCACATGCCTTTAGTGTGGAACGAATCTTTCCCCCTATTCAAACCTTTTAAAGTTTCATATTTATCTACATACATGAGAATCAAGCAGAGTGAACATTGGGGCAAAGAGACCCAGAGTGTTTAGCATTCAGCAAAAAAGGAAACACATTAGCATAATTTAATAATCTTTTCAATAAAACAGAAAATGCAATCAGCAGTTCTGCAGTGGAAATGGTTTACAAATCGAAATGCCATCATGAACAACAAAATTAAGATGAAATCAATCATTCAAATGGTTCTCAACCAAATCAAGACCATATAGTCAATAAATGAAGCGGAAAAATTAGTGTTATGTCATTTTCGGTCACCACTTAAATCAGAGGTGGTATTTTTAGCAGCCAGACAGCCAGGAGAGTGTCATTCTCACTTGATCTAATTCCCCCATCTCAGCACAGATAAGAAAATCAAAAACTCCCTGGAGAGGTGAAGGGTCTCCTTTCAGAAATTGTATGCGGTGGCAGGATCCAACACTGAGCCATAGCATGACACAGTCATCATAAAATGTTAATGATGTTCTACTGGGTGACAGTGTTCCTTGCTGTCTCCTTCAGCTGTGGCTCTCATATCTAGCAAAACCATGCGTTGTGTGGCTCATTGGTTCACGCCTTGCTGCTTGTGACTGTAAGGTAACAAGCTGAAACAAAAAATGTCCCCCCATAATACTCAGGGTTTCAGATAAATTCAGATTAATCTGTTCAAGATGGCCTGACCCAAGGTTATAGTTAATTAAAACTATAAGAAAAGATTTTTGTAAACTGAAATACTATATATTCAAAAATAACATTAAAAAACAACAACTAATCATTAGTAACTTACTGAAAAAACAAATATCAAATACTTTTTGTTCCATTATTAAATACTGTTTAAGTAATGTTTTTTTGTCTTCCATGATCATCAATAATACTTGGGACATATTAACTGGGAAGCAAACTGCCAGTTTTCATAGGTAATATTTTGAATGGAGGGGAAATGAGCAAGTGTAAAGATCTGAGTGACTTTGACAAGGGACAAATTATTATGTTGAGACGAGTTGGTCAGAGACTTGGCTTGACTGACTCCTGGTCAGTTCTGAGGAGTGCTTACTGACAGTGGTTGGAGTAGGGAAAAACCACAAACCAGTGACAGATTGTCAGGGATCCACAGCTCATTGATGCCCGGCGACAACGGAGGCTTATGACGTTTAATTAGTTTAAAACTCGCGCACATTAAAACCACGCGCGTATGTGCTCGCGAGCATAAAGCCTATCCTCTCCACGCGCTCGCTGGACCCTCTCTACGCACGCTGAGGATGGGCTTTCTGCTCGCGAGTGCATACGCGGGCGCAGTCCGGGGTTTTGAGACTAATTTAACGCCGAGCAAGCGAGAGACGTACAGAGGCGAGCACATACTGAGGATGGATTTTCTGCTCGCGAGAGCTTATTACGCGTGCGTGTTTTTTATGTGCGGGAGTTTTTAGACTAATTAAACGCCGTAGAGGCTGTCCTGACTGGTACAGAGTAACAGGAGGGCAATTGTGGGTCAACTGACAACTGCTACAAAATACAGCGCATTTCACCCATCTGCATATGGGGCTGGATATCCACAGACCATGGTAGTGCCCATGCTTACCCCTCTCCACTGGCAAAAGCACCTGCAATGGGCACACGACCATCAGGACTGGACCCATTTCCTGAGTCATGTGGACAGGCAGGTATGTGTGTGCCGTTGCCCTGGGAAACTGATGGCACCTGGATGGAATAAGACAAACTGGTGGAGGCAGTGTGATGTTCTGTAATGTTCTACTGGGAAACCCGGGATCCAGCCATTCATGTGGAGGGTACTTTGACACATGACACATATCACGACATCATTGCAAACCACATACACCCATTAATTTTTTTTTAATAATGCGTACACCCATTCATGGCAACGGTATTCTCCAATGGCAGTGGCATCTGTCAGCAGGATAATGTTCTCTGCCACACTGCACGAACTGTTCAAGAATGGTTTGAGGAACATGATGTAGAGTTGCCCTGGCTGCCCTAAATCCCCTAGATCAGAATCCAATCAAACATCTCTGGGATGTGATGGAGCAGCATGTCCGATCCACAGAGGCTGCACCTCACAGCCTAGGGACTTAAAGGATCCTTTGCTGACATCTTGGTGCCAAATACCACAAGCAAGGGCACCGTAAGGGGGGTAGAAAGTTAGGGTGATTCCAAGGGCCCTTGAATGACAGGGGCTCTAAAATATTTTGAAAATAACTGCATTGGTCTGGACGAGGGGGCAGAAAGTGATATGCTCTCATGGGGCCTAAAACCTCTAGCAATACCTCTGACCACAAGACACCTTCAGAGGTCTTGCTAAATCCATGCTTCAGTGGGTCACAGCTGTTTTGGTGGCACATGGAGGACTAACGGGTATGTTAGGCACGAGTATAATGTTTTGGCTCTTCAGTGTGTGTGCATATCTCAATGGAAAGCAAGAAGGGACATGCGAGAAGAGGTTCTCCTTTTGGGGGTCTCCCTACTGCATCTGGTACTCATCTGGCAGGCATATTTACGTTGCTGATGCTACTATATAAGTGGTACAGACTTCAGGTGCCATCTGGTGGTGATACCTTATTACTACAACTGAATATTGCGTCATCCATTTTCAACTCCATTGTTAAGGCCACTTTCTCTATTTAACTGGTCGGGCAAGTCCAGGAATCTTGAGGGTTTGGATGTTTATATCCACAAGAGAGAAACAAAGGCAACTAGAAAAAGTTTTAAAAGAAACACCACTAAATAAAACGAGAAGACAGATATTTGCAAGTAATTTATTTTATAGTAGAGCACATTATTAAAGTATAGTTAGGTAAAAAGTATACCAGTATCTTTTTGAACACCATATCTGCTATTAGTTTTCATTACAATCAAGTTATTTGTGCCAATACATTCTTCAGGCATCTGCAATCTACATGCCAATATTTGGTTTAGTCAATCATGACTAGTAGCAGAATAAAGCACTGAAACAATCAATGCCATAAAAAATAAAGTCAACCTGAGATAACAGGCCTTTAGTTAAAAGGGACTTTCAACCAGTTTTTTTTAGCAAGTGAAACCAAACATCTTTAAGTAGCTAAACTGAATGAATGGGAGTGGTTTAATCTCTGTATCTAGAGATGTGATTTGGGGGGGGTAATGAGCGACTCGAAAAGCAGCAGAGCCCACCGGCCTCACCGTGAAATTACAGCGGGAAGGAGTACAGGGCAGCAACCTGTGCTTTACAAAAGCTGAAATTACGCCTCATGGGTCCAATTGAGCCTGTGGGCAAATTGGCATAAATATATCGCAGCATATATAGATTGATTTTAAACCTTAAACTCATCATCTCACTATGTAGTCTTTTGTTGCTTTGACTGCACCACCTTCGTTACTTTCTGGTGGGTAGGTTTTAAATATCACTCTTGTAATCTCATTCACAGTCCATGCAAAAGTTACCATGCAACAAAGCGACGCAGGAGCCGGGCTCCTTGGCGGTACGGCTCCTCTGGTAGCTCACTCCCCTGTCCTGGTTCCAAGACAAACTTATTAGTGACTCTGTTTTAAACAATGGCAGCGAGATTACGGCAGCTTTCGTTTTTCTCTTTAATGATTATCTGCAAGGGCAAAAGTTAGCAAACAAAAAGGACTTTCCTAATTCATATTACATCCCTTCCGTACTCAAATGTTGAAATTCCTGGGGAAGCCTCAACTGGAAGACAAGCGTGGAAGAAAAATTAGTGTAAGAAAATGATATGGGTTACTGCCCCCTACTGACTCAGTAGCCATCCTTCATTAAAGTTTCAATACATATCAACTCTCATTTCACAAAGGGGAGAAATCCTGACAGTATGAAATGTAAGGCTTTACATCTCTTTGTGTCACCCAGTTTCTCAGTGGAGAGGCTGGCCATGAAACATGTTCCATTAAAATTGACAGTAAGTGCTAAGACATAATAGAAATCCAACAGAACATTTTACAAAGTGTGGGACACTGATTCAGGACTTTTCCCTCCCTATCTACCTTGAGATTACAGTACTGTAGCCGCCCTCCACATTCCCGTTCCCCAAATGCAGTCCCAGTCCCCTCCCCCCCCCCCCTCCAGTCCCCTCCCCCCCCCCCCTACAATAAATACTCAACCAAATATGATCCTCCTTCATGTTTGTACAGAATACAGACACAGTCTCACTCAGTCCTTGGTAGACTTACAGACTTAGAACATATTAAACAAAGAAACGAAAACAAAAGACAGCCAACCATTGAATGGGTATCAGAACTTCTTGGTTTACCAATGTGGAACAGCAAATGCAACAGCCAAATAAAAATAAAGATGATAATCTCTGGAGATCAGTCAGCGAGTGTGTGTGTTCCCCGCGGAGTCTCAGTGCTGCCCGGCGTCCCGGATACGACAGGCCACTGCCGTGATGAGGGCCGCCCCTTTGCCGCTGCCGTCCTCTGATTGGAGAAGGGTGACGTCGCACTGGGGAGCCAGCTCTCGCAATGTCTCACGCATGACGCTGGAGAAACTGGGAGACAGAATCGAAGCACGAAGAATGTTAGGGCTGTATTATTAGGAGCTGAAGGACAGGGAGGGAAAGACTCCATCGTCCATCCATCCATCCCATCCATCCATCCATCCATGGGCACCCACTGTATGGTACCTTTTGTATCCAAACTATTCTGACGTAAAATAAACTATCCCTTCTGGGGCAGTATTTCTCAACCAGGTCTTCAGGGACCCTCAGACAGTCTGTGTTTTTGCTCCCAGATGTGGACAGTCTAGCAGAGAGCTGGAAGGGAGCAAAAATGTGAACTGCTGGGGGCCGCCTAGTGTTTGGGTTGAGAAACACTGATCTAGCATGTAGCCCTACATCACACGCTGTGCTGTGTGGGGCACAGTCAAGGCCCCCCTGGCAACCCTAAGTAGGAGAAGCAGTTAGAAGATGGATGGATGGAGATGGTGAGCATGGTGCATTAGCAGGCGATTGACGCACTGAGGGTGGAGCTTGTAGAGCGTCCCGTCCACTCCGACAGTGATGCTGAGGTGAGGCAGGCTGCGGTTCTCCCGGATCTTATCCACTACGGCGGCGAGGCCGGCACCACACAGCTGGGCTGCCCGACGGGCCACCACGGTGCACACCTCCTTCACCAGGATGCTGTCATCACACGTACTGCTGGTGAGGCCCAGGTGCTGCAGGATGGAGCGCACCTGGCGGAGAGCCAGCCGGTCGCTGCGGGGAAGGGTGGGGAGACCAGACTCAAACAGCTCCTCACGGCCACATTGACTATGCGATGCCACACAGCGATTGGTTTACATTAACTTGCGTACAGAGGCAGGTGGCCCAGTGATTAAAGACACTGTCTGTAACTGGAAGTTTTAGAGGGCAGTTAAGCTGAACGGCTCTAGGAAATAAGCAGCTGCGTAACTTTGTAACATATCCCAGTAACCCAGAGTAACGACGACGCGCAGACTGACCTCTCGATCTGAGACAGAAAGCGCGTCTCGAAGATGCCCCGCGTCTTCAGCCTCTCGGACAGCCTGCCCCGGAACAACAGCCCTTTGGAAGTGAAGTCCAGCAGAACGTTCCTCACGATCTCTCCCAGGTACATCCCACTGATCATCTTCTCGTACCTGAAAGGCAATGTGGGTTAGTCCAGGAAGCAGGAGAGGAGCTCACAAGAACAGTTTTCAAATGATCATCCAGATCCTGCTGCCCAAACAGTCAGTATTACAGCCATGGCAGCATGAATGCAATTACCATTATAATGATAACAATACAGACTGCAAACTATTACTCCATCGGCATAAATACCCTATACCGTATGAAGAAGTCGATCTATTTTCATTTTACCTTACAGACTGTCCTGACTCACTCACTGACAAAAATAGGTAAAGACAAGTCAGATCGATAGGAATGAAGATCAGTGGGATTGATGCAGGAGGGAAGCCAGAGAAGGTCCTGGTCACCACGCTCGTCTGGTGTCTCTCCCTGACCAGTATACCTGGCGCCCAGCCACCTCCCACATGCCCACCTAAGGCTTCCTCACCTCTGCTTGCCCGGGTTGGCAGAGTTGTTGTCCACCGCGTGGTCAAAATCCGTGCAGAAATCATCCAGCTCCCCGGAGTCACCAAAGGCGCCCCACTCCATGTTGATGCACATACGGCCCTCGTCTCCCTCCACCAGTTCCACATTCCCCATCTCCTCCATATAGCAGGCGTTGGTGCCCGTGCCTGTGGGAATTGGACACTGATGCATGCTGGGACACAGACAGAAACAGAAAGACAGGCCGGCCCAAACAACAAGCGTTATTTACCGACAATGAGGCCAACTTCACACTGCGGGTCCTCGTAGCCACACGTCATCATGGTGCCAACGGTGTCGTTGACCACAGCCACCACGTCCAGGTCAAACTCCTGCAGGCAGAGGAGAGCACAAGCCTGGATCAGTGAGCGTGAGGCCCTCTCCCGTTCAGTTCGCCAGGTGGGGGGTTAGAGAACGCACTCTGACCTCCTGCCGATGGATGGCGTCCTTCAGCAGTTGCACCACATCCTCCCCCTCGCACCCTGTGGCCTTGAAGCCCTTCGTCCACTTCAGCAGGATGCCCTGGGGGGTGGGAGGACACTGAGCATGTGTGGAAGTGTGGCTGAGGGGCATCTTGAGCATCTGAGGGGGCTTCACCATGGTTGTGTCATTCAGGGGCTGCATCTTTCAAAGGACGCGGTCTATGAAGGTGTAGCCTTTGCAGACTGCATTCTTCGAAGGTCAAATAGTGTCAAATGAGACAGCCTGGCTTACAAATAGTTTCCTATATGAGTCACCAGCTGTTCCCGCCCTTATCCTTGACTCACAAAGCACTGCTCCTTTCGCCTAGCAGGGACACTCACTTTACCTCTACAACAGTGAATCTTGGGATATGTTGGGCTGCAAAGGATCCACTGGGTGGGTCCTTCAGAACTCGTCAAAAGAAGGACGCATTTCTAGACCACATTCGAAAAAGCCTTCAAGATGGGACAGCGTTGTCATGCTGCTGCAATGCATTCGGTCTTCAAATGCAGCCTTAGAAAGATGCAGCCCCCAAATTCAGACAAACTACCTGGTCCAGCTTCTTCTGGTGGCAGGGGAAGGAGAAGGTGAAGCCGAGAGGCAGGGAGGCGCCTTTCATGCCCATGTACTCCAGGAAGTCGCCGATGCAGTGTACGATGTGGTCGAACAGCTGAGGGAGCCAGAGAGTGAATGTTCACGAGACGGCCAATGGAATGGGAACATGGCACGGTTAGCGGCATTGGGCGCACAAACCTCGTCCCCGGTGCCCTGCATGACGTCCTGGGGGATGCTGTAGATCTTGTTGTGCATCTCCACGCTGCGCCGCTTCCCGTTCCGTACACGCACCAGCAGCACGCGGAAGTTGGTGCCCCCCAGGTCCAATGCCAGGAAGTCACCGCGCTCTGGTGAGATGGACAGATAGAGACGTCAAGAGACGCCGATCGACGGGGGAATGAAGCTTGAAGGACATTTGGAGCCTAGTGAGCGCCCCCTACCTGTGCCATCAGGGGTGGCCCTGACAAAGGTGGGCAGCATGCGGACACTGGCAGTGGCATGCGTCTCCTGGGACAGGCCCTTGGCCATCTGCTCACTCATCCTCTTCTTCACCTCCAGCAGCTGCTCGCGGCTCAGCCGCAGCGAGTCCAGGATGCGCTGGCGCTCCGCGTGCTGCATGGCCAGCCGGTACGCCACCGCCGTCACCATGGCGGCACCCTTCCCACTGCCGTCCTCAGAGCGCAGGAAGCGCACATCGCAGTCTGGAACCAGCCGGCGCACCATCTTGTGCAGTCTTCGGGCAAACCTTTGTGGGTGGGGGAGGGGGGGAGAATACCGGTTTAGCCTGCTACCTCACAGGTGCCCCCCCCCCCCCCTGCCACACAGACACTCACTGTGGGTGGTTCTTGTATACCGAGCCGTCCACTCCCACAGTGGTGCGCATGCGGTCGGTAGCTTTGTTGTCACGNGTTTTAAACACTACAGTGTGTCGGTAAGCTTGCGTCAGCACACGGCTTCTGAAGGCGCGGAAATTGTTTATTTTAGCATGGGTAACGTAATTTTCACATCTTGGACTTAAGATACTAGTGCAAAATAATTCAAGGAGGACAAAGAAGCTATCCAAAACAATACAGACGTTTGCCAAATGACTTTTTAGGGGAAAGGTTACACGTTTCATAAATATACATAGAAATTGGCTAAAGTAAACCAAGCTTGATATGATGAAATCAAACAGGAAAATGACATGTCACAACACGGCTCCACTAGACTGAGATACTGTGAGTGTGCTTGTCACTGCCTGTACATCACGTCCTCAGCGCAAAGGCCTGCGGCCTGGAGGCTCATTGCGATGCTGGATGGGAGTCACGTTTCCCAAACTGTGCCAACCACACTCATTAAATCTGCAGTTAGTCTGTCGGCCTCACATGACAAGACTTGGAACCCAAGCCTACAGCCACCATTGTCCAGGAAACGCCCCAGATTACACCTACAGCCCAGGGTCAGCGCATGCTGAGTATAGCACTGAGCTCAGATTCTGTTTATTGTTTATTAAGAGGTCTGTAGAGTCAGTATTTAAGAAGCTTATGACCCAATGTTTTGAAAACGTTTCTTTAAGGAAAAGCAAGAATTAAAAAACTGTCTATTTAAGTCTGTCTTTTACAGCAATGTCCTGTTGCATAAAACTATATGTTCTAAATGAGCTTGTGTTGAAGCAGCCTGAAATGTTTCAGCATGCTTGGGATGAGTAGCTGGTGTCATTCAGGTACTTCTGTGTCAAAACAGTTTCTAAGAACTGGTTCAGTAGTTATGCAGAAAGAGTGAAATTTATCTATTGCACAGGGCAGCCGCCCTGAATGAGGATACAGAAGTAGAGGGACTGTTTGGCTGTAACAAAGGATTTCTTTGAATCCCTGCTTCCTTCTTCTGTGCCTTGTTATCACAAGAGAGAATAGTAAGCCTTTGGGATGAACTGTCTAATGCTTTGCACTCGCATTAACAGATTAACTATTTATAACTGTGGGACGAAACTTTGTTGCAAAGCTGGGAGAAATGTGCTAAAAGCTAAGCATTTTTAGATGCTTTAAGGTAAGAGAGGTTACATGGCACTTTGGGCGGAGCTTAGTGGGGGTCCTCTGATGACGGGACGTGCTGGCGCTCCGCGTGCTGCATGTCCAGCCGGTACGCCACCGCCGTCACCATGGCGGCACCCTTCCCACTGCCGTCCTCAGAGCGCAGGAAGCGCACATCGCAGTCTGGAACCAGCCGGTGCACCATCCTGTGCATTCTCTGGGCAAACCTTTGGGGGGGGGGGGGGGGGCGGGAATACCGGTTTAGCCTGCTACCTCACAGGTGCCCCCCCGCCTCCCTGCCACACAGACACTCACTGTGGGTGGTTCTTGTATACCGAGCCGTCCACTCCCACAGTGGTGCGCATGCGGTCGGTAGCTTTGTTGTCACGGATCTGACGCAGCACAGAAGCCAGAGTGGCAGCACAGAGATGCGCGGCACGTGTGGACACCACCTGACACACCCGCTGCGTGGCGGCACAGTCCTCAGGCGAGGGGTCCAGGCCCAGTTCCCGGAGAACCTTATCAGCACTGAGCAGGCCCTCGTTGTTCCTGGGGAGGCGGGCAAACCGGTGGTTGGGGAACAGGAGAAACATGGCACACACCAATACACACACACACACACACACACACACAGACACACGCGCTCTCCGTCACTGACTTACCTCTCCTTCTCGATGGCCGACACGAAGGAGGTCTGGAAGTGTCCGGTGGTGAGCAGGCCGGACGTCACGCGGCCCTGGAAGACATAACCCTCTTTGGCCATCTTCACTAGGATGAGCCGCACCAGCTCGCCCATGTACATCCCACTGATCATCTTCTCAAAGCTGCAGGAGCAGACAGGATGCAGTTAAGTTAGCCGGTGTCTCTGTGTACTTTTTCCCCACATCTTCACAGGACTCACCAAATCAACATTGCTCACACTCATGTTCTGTCCTATCTAAGGGCTACAGCAAAACTTTCTGCTTCGCACAACAGCATCAAAGCCAGAAGGCCGCAAAGGAACTTGATCTTCAGGGATGCGCGTGGCCCGACTGCGACTCACAGTTGCTTCCCGGGGTTGAGTGAGCCACAATCAATCTCCCTGTCGAACTCCGTCCGAAGATCCTCCAGCTCCCCATTGTCCCCGAAGGCGCCCCACTCCATGTTGACACACATACGGCCCTCGTCTCCCTCCACCGTCTCCAGGTGACGCATCTCCTCCATGTAACAGGCGTTGGTACCCGTGCCTGGGGGGGCGGGGGGTGCAGGGTCACAAAGTGCCCAATGAAGATGACACTGGAGGCGACTATGGAGACAGACGGAGAGACTCACCGACGATGAGGCCAACTTCACAGTTGTGGTCGTCGTATCCGCATGTCATCATGGTGCCGACCGTGTCGTTGATCACAGCCACGATGTCAATGTCAAAATCCTGAGGAGGGTGAGACATTTCAGGTCGGATGGGCATATAGTAAGACATCAGCCCAGGGGGCCAGTCTGGCCTAATGGACAGCCAGATGTTTCACCTTCAGCGCATTTGCTTGTCAGCCGAGTAGCTAACAAACAGGACCAGAACTTCAGTGATTTTTCCTGCAGACGTGACACCAGCATATGTAGCCGGTACCGGACGGATGCTGCAAACTCTGCTTGCAGATGATACCACAGATGCCAGTTGAAAACAGGCAGTAACAGAAGTGCCTGAGCCAGCCTTCTATTTCGAGCCTCCTGCCTACCCCGTGCTCCCTGGGTCGGGACACTCACCCCCCTCTTCCTTATGGCCTTTCTCAGCAGGGCCACCACGTCGTGGCCTTCCACGCTGCTACACTTGAATCCCTTGGTCCAGCTCACCAGGAGGCTCTGTGCGGACAAGAAGACGGTCACCATGGAAACCAGCGGCGCTTGACGTTCCAAAACGCTGCCAGAGTGACGCTCACCTCGTCGAGCTTCGTCTGGCGACAGGGGAAGGAGAAAGTGAAGCCCAGCGGCAGCTTCCGGTCCTTGATCCCCAGCTTCTCCATGAAGTTGGCGAGACACTCAGCGATGTGGTCAAACAGCTGAGAGAGGTGAGTGGGTGAAAGGAAAACATCAGATAGTTAGTCAGATAGGGTCAGACGGAGTGTGCAGCCATAGTTGAGTGGACTCTAGTGATGATGGGGATCTATGTTGCTCACCTGAGTTCCACTGCCCCTCATCAGGTGCTCAGGAATGGCATATATCTGGTTTTCCATTTCCACCTTCTGCCGTCCATTATCGGACACTTTCACCAGCAGCACCCGGAAGTTGGTGCCCCCCAGGTCCAGGGCCAGGAAGTCCCCCTTCTCTGTATGCGGACACAGAAACACATCATAATGATCGACAGCCCACACTACAGTACAGCTGCCCTCACTGACCGGATTGATCCGCTTGTAACTAGCATTACCTCCCCCACCAGCCGCTGTCTCGCTTTAAAGCCACAGTCTAACAGCCCAAAGCACCAACAGTGCTGACAGGGAGGCAGGGCAAAGATCAAAATGAAATGCAATAAAAGAGCAATTCCACAATAAACACATTTTATTAAGTTTGGTTTTGAAAAAGAAACCCTTAAAGGAAGGACGACCCTGTCATCCTTCTTCTGCTCACTGCAGCCAGACCTCATTGACAGGATAACAACAGTTTAATGAGGCACCAAAGGCCTGAGTCAACAAGGCAGACTGGAGCACAGGCTCCGGCACACACATGCCATACATACAGCTACGGCCACGGCTACCGATGCAGCCGCTAGGGCCACGGCTACAGCCATAGCTTGACTGTGGATAGAGCAGTTAAGTTACTGATACTGCTGCTTCTAGTACAGCTACAGCTGCCCTGCAGCAGGGCTGCGGCTCAGTGTCACCCACCATAACAACGACAATAAAATGGGGACATAAAATTATATTCCAATCATAAAGTTAGACTTTTAAGTCCTCTTCAGTAAAAGAGAATACACTTGGTAATATATAAATAAGAAATCAAAGAGATGCACAGTGGAAAGATACAAGCACCAGTCAGAGACCTTTCAGCAAGATACTTTTATTATATTAATTATCGGCCTCCTTTGGGCCCTGAGTCCACGCCTCACCTGTCCCATCAGGTGTAGACCGCACAAAGGTGGGTAGCATCTTGACGGAGGCTGTGGGGTTGGTGTCCCGGCAGAGGCCCCGGTCCATCTCCCGCCGGAAGCGCTTGGACACGTCCATCAGGGTCTCGTCCGACAGACGCATATGGTACAGGTACTTGTCCACCTGCGTGGGGAGGAGGAGGGAGCAGGTTCAATCACGACAGGCGTGGACAGGGATAACGACTCACAAGAGAGGAGGTGAGAGGAGTTTAAGCGTCTGGCCAAAACTAGGGAACGTGATAAAGCAAATCCGTGTGATGGCAACTGGGGCGATTAACACCCCATAAACACCGGCAGACGATCTATGACCCAACCTGTCAGTGTGTCTTCTTGTAACCCAACTTTGAAAACATTTCCCAAAAATTACATCACGTCAACTGAGAGACGTAACGGAAAGTCTTACTGCATACATGCCAAGCGGCACGTCGACTGCAGTGGTGGGTATGAAGGCCTGCTGCAGAACGTCAGGCTCTGACGCTCCCCCCGGAGCTTCATCCAGAACAAAAAGCCTGTTTTACTGCTCTGCTGCTTCAGGTGTTTGTCTAAGGTTGTGTGTTTTTTTAAGGACACAAATTCCAGCTGTTCTGAAGATCATTTCAAAGTAAAACACCTCTATCACAGCCCAATTGACCCAAAGCTCAGGACGCGATACAGCACGGCAGTAACACGGTGCCATATCAGAGGGCACACAACGACCTCTCTCTACATCACGTCTCATAAAGGCAAAGAAATGCATTCACCGTTTCCAAACACAACCCCCCCGCAACCACCCCCACCAGCAGCTGACTAACGCCTCTGCCTCACAGCCATGCAAAACCGGCAGACATGTGACTGAGGTGAAACTTGATCCTCGTGGCTGATGTGAACTCGCGCAGAGCGCTGGGGGGAGCGGTTTGCGGCTGTGAACGAACAGACCGCTCCCCCCTCATTAAACACAGGCAGACAGACTCCGGAAGGAGAACAACTCCTCAGCTGCTCTGGCACGTACCTCTGATTGTGAAACAAACCTGATACGGGCAAAACGACTGTTTGTACTGATATCAAACCCCCCCCCCCAATGCGGCCATTGCAGTGGTTAAGTAATGCTGCGCGATGGGAGAGATTTCTTGGTGGTATAGTAGGTCACCTTGGTGTCAGGCACCAGCGATGAACAGGTGAAGGACCCAAGCAAAAGGGCAAAGTGACCAAACAGCTGAGAAGTCCTCTGAGGGGGGAGGGAAGGGGGGGGTCATGAAGCAGAGCTGAGGAGGAGTATAAAATATGTTTGGTTTGGGAAATGTCAGTAAGTGAGAAGCAGATCAATGAATGTGGTCACATAAGACCAGACATGTGGAGGAAGGAAAATGACAGGAAGGGGAGCAAAATAAAGGGAAATCTATAAAGGGATCATGCCAGCCAGTGAGATTCCAGGGGTGTGTCTCTGCCAGGCTGATAGGAGAAGGGAACTTGGCGCCCCTTCGCAAAACTTAACATGGGATAAGACGGAAGGAACATCCTGAAACAACTATATAAAGGCTGGCAAGAATGCAGGCCCACTGCCACGCAGGAATTGACACATACATCCACATACTAAACAAGATTGGGGGGGTCCGACCTCTCGGGCAAATGAGGAAGTGACTAAGCAACCAGAAGTAGAGAAAGCTGAACATGCGAAACTGAAAGACACCGCCATTCCTCTCTGCTCCCCCCTGTGCATGCTGGGAAACACAAATGTCTTATGGCTGCCAGACCGAACCCATTTAGCGACCTAAGGGGGAACTGGACCAAACCCATTTAATTAAGCCAAACCCTTGCTTTAAAGCAAATGGCATAAAACGTAGTTTCAGTATTACTTAATCCACAGACTGTGCTGCAATGCAATCTGGGAAACTTAAACCTTCGAGAGTACATGCTTCACATGAAATAGAACCAAAAAAAAATTTCAACAGAAAAAGGTCAAACTGCTGGCTGTGAAGTAACATAACAGTAACTAACCACACCAGGAATGACATTGTGGACAAACACAGGTGACATTTTATTTAAGCATGCCACACACCTTTTCATAGTCTACCACTCTACCTGTCATACTTGAAGATGCCCGATTATTCCTGCTTAACCTGATCATCATGAGGACGTCCTTCCGTTTTACCCACGCAATAATGTGAAATCGCACGGAATGTAAAGTTTCGGAATGTAAACTATTTTGCCGCCCTTTCCCGCAATCAGAATGTCCGGTTACGTTTAATATTACGGTAGAGTTTTTGAGTTTTGAGATCTCAGGGCTGCCTGCGCCTCTCCCTAGACGAATACATCTGACACCAAGGTCCAGTCTGGTGTAATACTATCCTACTGATTCATCCTTTAACGAGCGTGTGAATGCCAATATTCCACAGATACAATTAGCGATTGCGACTTTTTTGTTCCCTTCTGCTGACGCGGGTTGTTTTTAGTGACATTGTATATACGATACTCCTGTAACTAGTAAAGTGGCGGCTGCCGTTTACACTAACTTCGCCACTTCCTCGATCACTGAGTAATCGGAGTCAGACAACCCCGGTTTTCCATCTTCCCGGGGTAAAAGAGGACCGAGATAGGGCTGCCGTACTCCTGCCGCTGAAAACGTGCTCATGAATAAAAGACGAGGACGGGTTTTTCCGCTATTACGCATCACCCGCACACGTGGAAGTGAGGAAAGTCACCGCTTCCTTGGCCGAAGACGCTGCCTATATCTCACAGTTCATCGTCGAATCGAATGGCCATCGGAAGAGATGATTTCTCCATTCTGGGGCGCTTTTCCTTCCGGCGGAGAGGCGTTTCCCCGGTGAATAGAGCCGGGAGAGCAGCCGGTGTGCCCGCTTACCTTTTGCGCCTGGTCATGGTGGAGCTCCGTGAAGTAGTACGCCAAGAGATGCGAGGCGATCATGCTCCCGGTTCCTCGCACTTCTTACGGTTCGTTCTTCTGTCCCGTACCGGCTCCTTCCTCTAGAGGTCTGCAGGGTATCTCCGCGCAGCGATTTACGGGTAAAACAGCGTGTTTACGCCGACTGCGAGACCGGCAAACGCACTCTCTTCAGCGGATGAGATGGAAGTGGGAGGCGGCTGAAGCCGTCCAAGACTTTCCCCTCCCACACGAAACTCCTGAGCCCCGGAGCGTCACGGCCGGCCCTGCCGCCGATTGGTGCCAGCGAAGGTGTGTGCCCTGCCCCGGAACGCTCGCCACGCCTCCCGATAGAAAGCATTAGTAAGAGGTATGAATGAACAAGCACGTCCGCAGATAAAACTGAAGACCGATGTGTAAAAAATGATGGTGCGGATTACAGTGTCGTTATTATTATTTTGTTCGTGCATTTTGGTACAACAAAATGAAAAGGCATCCCCTTAAATGTAAATCTTTTGTGTTGTTTCTTTCTCTTTTATTATGCCACTGCGATCCGACGGGAATTTAGCTCAGATCCGCTGACGCATAACAAAGTCACTCGGCTGAATAGCGTCGCTTTCAGCTATTTAATTACGCGTTCTTTCTTTCTCCGAACTGCACCCATGCACCCTGTTTTAAACACTACAGTGTGTCGGTAAGCTTGCGTCAGCACACGGCTTCTGAAGGCGCGGAAATTGTTTATTTTAGCATGGGTAACGTAATTTTCACATCTTGGACTTAAGATACTAGTGCAAAATAATTCAAGGAGGACAAAGAAGCTATCCAAAACAATACAGACGTTTGCCAAATTTTTAGGGGAAAGGTTACACGTTTCATAAATATACATAGAAATTGGCTAAAGTAAACCAAGCTTGATATGACGAAATCAAACAGGAAAATGACATGTCACAACACGGCTCCACTAGACTGAGATACTGTGAGTGTGCTTGTCACTGCCTGTACATCACGTCCTCAGCGCAAAGGCCTGCGGCCTGGAGGCTCATTGCGATGCTCGATGGGAGTCACGTTTCCCAAACTGTGCCAACCACACTCATTAAATCTGCAGTTAGTCTGTCGGCCTCACATGACAAGACTTGGAACCCAAGCCTACAGCCACCATTGTCCAGGAAACGCCCCAGATTACACCTACAGCCCAGGGTCAGCGCATGCTGAGTATAGCACTGAGCTCAGATTCTGTTTATTGTTTATTAAGAGGTCTGTAGAGTCAGTATTTAAGAAGCTTATGACCCAATGTTTTGAAAACGTTTCTTTAAGGAAAAGCAAGAATTAAAAAACTGTCTATTTAAGTCTGTCTTTTACAGCAATGTCCTGTTGCATAAAACTATATGTTCTAAATGAGCTTGTGTTGAAGCAGCCTGAAATGTTTCAGCATGCTTGGGATGAGTAGCTGGTGTCATTCAGGTACTTCTGTGTCAAAACAGTTTCTAAGAACTGGTTCAGTAGTTATGCAGAAAGAGTGAAATTTATCTATTGCACAGGGCAGCCGCCCTGAATGAGGATACAGAAGTAGAGGGACTGTTTGGCTGTAACAAAGGATTTCTTTGAATCCCTGCTTCCTTCTTCTGTGCCTTGTTATCACAAGAGAGAATAGTAAGCCTTTGGGATGAACTGTCTAATGCTTTGCACTCGCATTAACAGATTAACTATTTATAACTGTGGGACGAAACTTTGTTGCAAAGCTGGGAGAAATGTGCTAAAAGCTAAGCATTTTTAGATGCTTTAAGGTAAGAGAGGTTACATGGCACTTTGGGCGGAGCTTAGTGGGGGTCCTCTGATGACGGGACGTGCTGGCGCTCCGCGTGCTGCATGTCCAGCCGGTACGCCACCGCCGTCACCATGGCAGCACCCATCCCGCTGCCGTCCTCAGAGTACAGAAAGCGCACATCGCAGTCTGGAACCAGCCGGTGCACCATCCTGTGCATTCTCTGGGCAAACCTTTGGGGGGGGGGCGGGAATACCGGTTTAGCCTGCTACCTCACAGGTGCCCCCCCGCCTCCCTGCCACACAGACACTCACTGTGGGTGGTTCTTGTATACCGAGCCGTCCACTCCCACAGTGGTGCGCAGGCGGTCGGTAGCTTTATTGTCACGGATCTGCCGCAGTACAGAAGCCAGAGTGGCAGCACAGAGATGCGCGGCACATGTGGACACCACCTGACACACCCGCTGCGTGGCGGCACAGTCCTCAGGTGAGGGGTCCAGGCCCAGTTCCCGGAGAACCTTTTCAGCACTGAAATGGTAGATTACCTGGATTCAAATAACATTCTGAGGGATAGCCAACATGGATTTAGGATCCTGTTTAATTTACTCTACTTCTTTGAGGAAGCTACAAGAGAAATTTATTGCAAAAAGGCCTACAATGTGATCTACTTAGATTTCTGGAAGGCCTTTGATGTTGTCCCCCACAAATGACTCTTGCTTAAGCTCAAAGCTGCAGGGATTTTAGGAACTGTAGCAGCTTGGACCGAAAACTGATTAACAGACAGGAAGCAGCGAGAAGTTATTAGAGGCACAATGTCACAGTGGGCCTGCGTCCATAGTGGGGTACCGCAGGGTTCAATTTTAGGACCACTATTGTTCCTAATTTACATTAATGATATTGACCAATACATATAGTAAACTGGTTAAATTTGCAGACGACAACAAGGTGGGTGGAGTAGCAGATACTGATCTAGCAGCACAGAGGCTACAACGGGATCTTGATTTAATTAGCGACTGGGCTGATACTTGGCAGATGAAATTTAACATAGATAAATGTAAGGTAATCCATGCAGGGAGCAGAAATATAAAGTACATAATTATATTTTATGGGTTCCACTGAAATAAAGATAGCTGATTATGAGAAAGACCTCGCTGTGTATGATGATGCTTCCATGTCCCACTCTCACCAGTGTGGGGAAGCAGTAAAAAAGGCCAATAGGATGTTGGGTTACATCTCTAGGTGTGTGGAGTTTAAGTCAAGGGACGTGATGCTAAGATTATACCCAACTTAGAATATTGTGTGCAGGTTTAGTTACCGTACCTTAAGAAGGACATTGCTGCCTTGGAAAAGGTGTAACGGAGGGCTACGAGAATGATTCCTGGTCTTAGGGGAATGTGTTACGAGGAGAGGTTAGCTGAGCTGAATCTATCTATCTCGAGCAAAGGAGACTTAGGGGGGGACATGATCCAGGTCTATAAGATTCTAGCTCTCCTTCTCAATGGCCGACACGAAGGAGGTCTTGAAGCGTCCGGGGGTGAGCAAGGGCGGACATCACGCGGCCCTGGAAGACATAACCCTCTTTGGCCATCTTCACTAGGATGAGCTGCACCAGCTCGCCCATGTACATCCCACTGATCATCTTCTCAAAGCTGCAGGAGCAGACAGGATGCAGTTAAGTTAGCCGGTGTCTCGAAACTGCGCATTGGGAACAGCTGCCCTCTACTGCCTGGGATAGGCTCCCACTAATGGTTGAATGATTGGATACAGTTTGATCTAAATCATTAACATATGAAAATCATGAAAACTGTACTTTTTCCCACATCTTCACAGGACTCACCAAATCAACACTCAAACTCATGTTCTGTCCTATCTAAGGGCTACAGCAAAACTTTCTGCTTCACACAACAGCATCAAAGCCAGAAGGCTGCAAAGGAACTTGATCTTCAGGGATGCGCGTGGCCCGACTGCGACTCACAGTTGCTTCCCAGGGTTGAGTGAGCCACAATCAATCTCCCTCTCGAACTCCGTCCGAAGATCCTCCAGCTCCCCATTGTCCCCGAAGGCGCCCCACTCCATGTTGACACACATACGGCCCTCGTCTCCCTCCACCGTCTCCAGGTGACGCATCTCCTCCATGTAACAGGCGTTGGTACCCGTGCCTGGGGGGGCGGGGGGTGCAGGGTCACAAAGTGCCCAATGAAGATGACACTGGAGGCGACTATGGAGACAGACGGAGAGACTCACCGACGATGAGGCCAACTTCACAGTTGTGGTCGTCGTATCCGCATGTCATCATGGTGCCGACCGTGTCGTTGATCACAGCCACGATGTCAATGTCAAAATCCTGAGGAGGGTGAGACATTTCAGGCCGGATGGGCATATAGTAAGACATCAGCCCAGGGGGCCAGTCTGGCCTAATGGACAGCCAGATGTTTCACCTTCAGCGCATTTGCTTGTCAGCCGAGTAGCTAACAAACAGGACCAGAACTTCAGTGATTTTTCCTGCAGACGTGACACCAGCATATGTAGCCGGTACCGGACGGATGCTGCAAACTCTGCTTGCAGATGATACCACAGATGCCAGTTGAAAACAGGCAGTAACAGAAGTGCCTGAGCCAGCCTTCTATTTCGAGCCTCCTGCCTACCCCGTGCTCCCTGGGTCGGGACACTCACCCCCCTCTTCCTTATGGCCTTTCTCAGCAGGGCCACCACGTCGTGGCCTTCCACGCTGCTACACTTGAATCCCTTGGTCCAGCTCACCAGGAGGCTCTGTGCGGACAGGAAGACGGTCACCATGGAAACCAGCGGCGCTTGACGTTCCAAAACGCTGCCAGAGTGACGCTCACCTCGTCGAGCTTCGTCTGGCGACAGGGGAAGGAGAAAGTGAAGCCCAGCGGCAGCTTCCGGTCCTTGATCCCCAGCTTCTCCATGAAGTTGGCGAGACACTCGGCGATGTGGTCAAACAGCTGAGAGAGGCGAGTGGGTGAAAGGAAAACATCAGATAGTTAGACACCTCAACACCTTGCTGCAGCAGCTCAGCCCCCTGCTCATCTCCAGTCCTCCTTCCTCTCACATTCACATTTTTCTCCCTCCATTTCCAGGGCCAGCTATGACATGGACTCTACAGATATAGAGGGTTTCTCCATTAAAATAAAAAAAGGAATAAAAAAACATGAGAATTTACTCAGGAACAAATCAACTAAGAAACTCAATGAACACACAAACAATGCATCAGACTCTCCAGTCATTAGAGAGAGACCCTGCTGTGGATGAGATACACTCCTTATCCTTCCTGGGAAAGTTTTTTTCCTCTCACTCATTTATCTATTTTTTTCAAAGCATGTCCCCTGGGATCTGAACCCATGACCTTTGAGTTATAGATGCAATGCTCTACTTGTCAAACTACAGGAACAATGCAGCCTCACACAGATCTTTTCCTTGATGGGGAGGGTCAGACGGAGTGTGCAGCCATAGTTGAGTGGACTCTAGTGATGATGGGGAT